TTCTATATGTCATACCATTTTCTTATCCATCTTTAACTTTTCATATTCCACTTACATTTAACATTTCACTACTTCAAGTACAATGTTGAAATAATACAGCTGTATTGGACTGCACCTGCCATCCTTCATGCTGTAGTATAGTAGGTGTATGCATGTGCTACATCTACACATCTTATAAAGCTCAGAAAAAAACAGTACACTTTTATTTAAAGATTTAATTTTTCTAGAGCAGTTTTGGGATCACAGCAAAATGGAGAGTAAGGTACTGAAATTTCTCATATGCCCCCTACCCTCCCACATGCACAGCCTCCTCTCTTATTAGCACCCCCCACTGGAGAGGTGCACTTGTTAAAATTGAGGAACCTACACTGGTCCATCATTATCACCCAAAGTTCATAGTTTACAATGGTTTCACTCTTGGTGTTGCATTCTGTGAATTTGGACACATGTACAACATGTACCCATGATTGTAGTGCCACACAGAGTAGTTCTAGTGCCCTAAAGATCCTGTTCTTCACCTGTTCATCCCTCCGCACCCCCAATGGTATTATAGCTTTGACTTTAAGTCATGCGTATTACACAGAAGTTAGGAGGAGCAAGAAAAATAGAACGAGTAGCCTTTTATATATACCTATATACTTACCATTTTTGAGGCTACTTATTCCATTCTGAGGATCTACATTTCCTTTTTCTGGTATAACGTCCTTTATCTCAAAGAGCTTCCTTTAGCATTGTCTGTTATAGAGTTTTTCTGTAATCATTTCTCTAAGCTTTCTAAAATCTAGAACAGCTGTATTTCAACATTCTTAAATGGTAAGTTTGCTGGATATAAAGGAGATATATGGGAATATAAGGGATATAGGGAAACATAAGGGACATAAAGGATATGGCGGTCATAGAGGAACATGGCGGATACAGGGGACATAGGGGGCATAGGAGGACATAAAGGACATAGGAGCTATAAGGGATATAGGGGGATATAGGGAACATAGGAGTACATAGGAGATATAGGGGACATAGGTGATATAGGGGGTATAAGGGACATAGAAGATATAGGAGACAGAAGATATGGGACATAGGGGATATAGGGGGACATAGGGGATATAAGGAGATGTGGGGGACATAAGGACATAGGAGATACAGGGTTCTACATTTAAAGGTTTTTGTTATTGTTGTTTTTTATTTTCTACACTTTAACTCTAGTATCTCATTGTCCTCTGATCTCCATAGAGTCTGATAAGAAGTTGGCTGTTGATCGAATCATTAGCCCCTCTATGTACAGTGCCACATTTCCTCTTGTTCCTTTCGATATTTGCTTTTTTGCATTGGTAAGCATCTGTTTGATTCTGATGCACCTCTATGTAGGACTGTCTTTATTCTGCTTGATACTAGTTACCTTATATTTGCAAATATCTGTCTTCCATCACCTGGGTGATTCCAGCCACTATTTATTCAAATATTCTTGTTTACCATCTTCCCTGTCCTTTCCTCTTTTGAAGCCAACTGCATATATATTAGAGTTTGATCTTCTTAAGAGTGCCTGAGACTGTTATGTACCCAACTTTTCCCCTTCTGTTTTCACATTAAACCATTTCTGCTGCTCTGTTCAAGTTCATTATCTCCTTTGTCATCTCTGTGTAGCTGTCAAGATCATGTATTGACTTTGTTATTTCTGATATTGTATCGTTGAATCCTAAATTTTTTTCAATTGTTCAGATTTTTCTGCCAAGATTTCCTACTTTTTCATTTTTTGCAAGCGTGGTTATTTGTCTCCATTGAGGATATTTATGACAACTGCTTTAAAATCTTTAATACTTCTGCTTTCTGCTAAAATGAAGTTAAAAGGGAACAAATTCAGCCTTCTGCCTACAAAACTAAAACTCAGGGTGGTGGTAGTGATACATAGAGCACTAGTTTTCAGACAGTGGCTCTCAGGCTGCATAGGACAGTGGTCCTTAGGGCATGCAAGGACCTGACAAGGTGAGACTTCTGTTGGCCCTGATGCCTGCAGAGAGAGGTTTTGGGCTTCATCACAGAGGGGAGAAGCTGGTGGTTTCCCTGGGCAAAGAGATGGTCCTGGGAGTGCTGGAAGGCTGAGGAGACTCATGTATACCTGGAAGACCACCAGCAAAGAGAGAACTGTGACCAGAGGGAAAGAACTTCAATGCTTGATGGGTCCCATCGAGTCTTCAGCTGAACACTGACCCATGTGCAGATATAAAGGAACTATCCAAGGGCACAGAATAAAACACCAAACAAGAATTAGAGGGAATAAACCTTGGGGCTCATGAAGAACCAGGAATGGTTTGTGTTCCAACCAGGTCATATGTGGCTCAGGAAAGCCTCATAACACAGAGGAGACTGTATGGAGTATTCAGAATGCTTTACCTCAGGAAAAGAGCATGAGCGGCCTGCGAGGTGACGCAGATCCCAACTCAGAATGTTTAAAATCAAACATAAATATGTCAAGTTGTTTCAAAGTCACACAACTCTATCCCAGAAATAAAGCTCAAGAATAGTTTTAGGAATACAAAACTATCCAGGAGCCAACAAGGAAAAATATGCAGTGTCTAGCAGCCAAAGGGAAATCACCTGGTATATAAAAAGGCAAGAAAACACATCATATGAAGAGGAGAAATATCAGTTGGTTGAAACTGACAAATGGCACAGATGAAGTAATTCACAAACAAAGATGGAATGTTGTTACTGTCACTGTATTCTGTGTGCTCAAGAAGCTAGTGAGGATGCTGGTGATGTTGAGTACAGAGAGAAGAAATAAAAAAGACCCCAATCAGATTTTTGGGGATGAATCCTACAATGTCTGTGATGAAGATTCACCAATGAGATTAAGATCAGATCAGGCACTGAGAAAGAAAATATTAATGAACTTGAAGACACTTAATAGAAACCATCTAAAATGAAATAGGGAGAGAAAACAGAAAATGAGCAGAAAGTTAACTGGGGGATGACTTCAAATGGCCTAAAATACATGTCATCAGCAACCCAGAAAGAGAAGGAAAAGAAGGAAACAAGACTAAATATTTGAAGAAAAAATAACTGAATATATTCCATATTTGAATTTTTTTTAAAAAACTGTGACCAGCATATCCAAGTTACTTAAAAACTCCCAAGCCCAAGAAGCCTGAAGAAGGCATATCTTAATTAAATTGCCTAAAGAGAGTGATAACAAGAGAATCTTAAATTCAGATAAGGAGACATGCTACATACAGAGGAACAGAGGGAAGGACGAGAGCAGGTTCCTTATTGGCAAAGTGGAAATGGGGAGAGTGGAATAAGGCCCTTCAAGCCCAGGAGAAAAAGCTGCCAATTCAGGGCTCTACAGTCAGCAACAAATGGCGTAAAGAAGGTAAAACATCAACTTTCTCAGACCTACAGAAGCTGCAATAATTCATCATCGCCAGCAGATCAGCACTAAAAAATGTTCAGAATGTCCTTCAGGCAGAAAGATGACACCACACGGAGACCTGATATGAAGAAGGGGGTGGACAAAGTGCCCAACGACACCACCAGGAAGACCCCAATGGGTAATGGAGCCCTTCCACCCACTGTGAGGTTACTAAGTTGCCATGAAGGAGTGTGTTGTTATTTGAAGAAGGATGAAGGTAAAGCTGTGTACTACAAACCCTAAAGCATGCATGTGAGTACACACATGCACACAGTTATAGGGAACCAACAAAAACGGGATTAAATGGTATCATAAAAATACTCAAATTATCCAAAAGAAGGCAAATTCAGAGGAAAAGGGAAATGAAAACCAGATGGACAATAAAAAACAAATAGCAAGATCACAGTTAAGGCTGATGCTCATTAACAGTAGCATTTGATGAAAATACTGTCCAAACCCCAACCAAGAGTCATCACTTTTCAGATTCGATAAGAAAGCAAAACTCAACTGTGTGCTACCTGCCCCACATCCACTTGACTTTTTTTTTTTTTAGGATTTTATTTATTTATTCATGAGAGACAGAGAGAGAAAGGCAGAGACATAGACAGAGGAAGAAGCAGGCTCCTTGAGGGGAGCCAGATGTGGAACTCGATCCTGGAACTCCGGGACCACTCCCTGAGCTGAAGGCAGATGCTCAACCACTGAGCCACCCAGGTGTCCCATATCCACTTTAAAAATAAAGATACATATAAAAATAAAGAGATCAAAAAAAATCTACCAGTAACACCAGCCAAAAGAGCCGGCGTCATTGTATTCTTATGAGATAAAGTAGATTTCAGAGCAATGAGTCCAGCCTGGGATAAAGAAGGTCAATGTGCAGCTCCTAAGGGGTCGGTTATCCAGAGGACATAATGCTACATGCCTCTGCACCTAGTCACCAGGCTCCAAGGTACACAAAGCACAAGCCCCATCTGCTGTCTCAGCACCTGGGGCATCCTGGGTTCTCTCTCCATTCACGTTCCTTTCTCCGAGGAATGTGTCCCATTTAGTAGGTCTTTTGCATGTTGGGTAGTACTTTTGGGCTGTGTCCACCTTATGAATGTGGTCTGGAGGAGATTCTGGATTCTGTTATTTTTCACCAGTGACGTGTCTTGTTTGGTTCAGCTGGTGGTAAGAGCTGACCTAATTCAGCTGCCCCCGGGCGGCAGCTCCAGCCTCAGCTCAGGTCTTGTCCTTGGCTGGTTGCTTTCCAGAATGCTCTGTGCATGTGGTTAGTCAGTAGAAAGGTGGGCAGGCTGGCATGCAGGTTCCCTGAACATTTCCTGCTCTCCTACAATCCCCACGACCTGCAGTGGCCAAGCTCCTGCCACCCTAAGGTTGGCAAAAGGTAGACCCATTTGCCTCCCGGATCTGACTCCAGGACGAAAGGAGAATCCTTGAACAACTCCCCCCGGAACTGCTGCTGCTGCTCTCTCCCCAGCCCTCAAAAGGCTCCTGTTTGCCCTCTCTACAGATTTCCTAGTTGTTTTTCTGTGAAGAACGGAGTGTGGCGTGATCTTACAAAATCATTACAGGAAGCACAGGCAGCAATTACCCATCCACTTTTAGGCCGCCTTCTGCAGGAACCTCACATCCTTTGAGTCACGCTGGGGGAAAGCGTACGTGTCATCTGCTCCGGAGGTCACGATGGTTTCCCTGCGTGGGTGAGAAACACACAGTGTCTCGTCGGGGACACTGCAGCCCCATGAAAGCCACCGACCGCGCACGAGTGGGAAGAGAGAGGCCAGGCACAGGCCCCTTCGATCTCGCACCACAGGTCTCCACTGCAGCGCCAGCTCTTGCCAAGGGCCCATCTCCCTTCAACATCCTGCCCTGCACCCCCACCCGAAGAGTCTCCACCAGGAACTCCCTGATTCACTCTCCCCTCCACTCCTGGCTGCTCCCTGGCCCGGCCCCTGCTCAGCTCCCTGCTGCCCCTTCCCCGCCACACCCGGAGGCTCCTCTAGACAACACCCCACCCACTCCCAGTCAGTGCCCCCACAGAGCTTTCCCTGCTCTGCCTCCGGGCCCCAGCATGCCTCATCCATCAGGACTATTTCAGAGTTCCTTGCCCCAAAAAGCCCGCCTGGACCCCCCAGTTGGAGTTAGGTCCTTCTGCTCTCCTTAGAACTGCTGCTGTCCCAGTTGACTCTGGAAGTCTCAGACCCAGGTGGCCACTGGTGCAGCGGGCTTCCCGGTTCCAGCCAGCACAGTGAGGGCCACAGGGCGGCTCCACAGCTCTGCAGTGGTCAGTGAGAATGAGAGGCGCCCCCCCGGCTTGGCTCTCCCCACATGGCCCTCAATGTGGCCTGGCCTTGGCCTGGGGCTACCCGGGCTCTGCCCACATGGCCAGGTGTAAGTGCAGACTGGGGTTGATGAGCTGGATGCTCAGGGTCCCCCTGGGCCTTACAGGCTTGCAGAGGTGAAAGCAGGTGTGGCCTCTCGGAGCCTTTCTTATTAGCCTTCCCTGGAGGAGGATCCAGTGGCTGGGCCAGGGAGCCTCTGGGGGAAGGGATGGTCTGAGCTCCTGGCGCTCCTGGCCATCAGAGTCCATCCTGAAATGAACAGAGTAGAGCCCACAGGAGGCCTGGGAGCAGACCCTGCTCCACCATCCCTGACCTTGAGGTCAGTTTCCTTGTCTCTGATGGAGGCTTGACAGTACTGGGCCCCACAGACCCCATGGGGTTGTCTGACAGTCCCCCTCAGCAGCCTGGGTGACACAGTGGGAGGATGTGGGAGGACAAGCCTGGACTGAGAGCCAAGTGGCCACACCACAGCCCTGGGGCATGAGCTTCGTGGGGGTGCTTGCCACCCCATTATAGACGGGACACTCCGGCTGAGGCTGCTCAACAGTGCAGCTGGTCACATGCCTCGAGCGAGGAACAGCCAGACTGGTGCAGCACAGACGCTCCTGGAAAGTTGTTAGCTGCGCCTCGGCTCCCACCTCTATACTCCTGTCTTCTCAGGAGCAGCCAGGGGACCCAAGAGCTCTCTCATTCCTAACATTTGACTTTGCTCTTGTTCAAAGCTGATGGGCCATAGCTCAATGGCATGGGAAATGCTGGGCTTTGTGAGGATGAGTGGGCCCACCCACCTTCCAGAATGAATGCGGCATGTATTCATCTTTGAATGGACATCTTTGTTTTACCCAGCCCACATCTGTGGCTGTTGAGTCTCAGGGAAGGAGTGGCACCTGGGCATGCCTGACATTCTCCAGATAGACACAGGACCCTGTTGTGCCCTTCCCTCCTGCGCCTTGCCCTCTGTCTCTGCCACCTTCCTCCCTCCTCCTGCCCACCCAGGCCCCAGGACCCTGGGGTCACCAGAGCAGCTAATGGATCACTGCAGTTTCTGAGCTGTGGTCTTGACTCATCCTACCTCTGTTTCTTGATTCATTGCCCTGTGACCTGCTGGAAAAACAGCAGTCCCAGCCCTGGATTAGCCCCTGGCCCCTGGGCTTCTTCCTGATGCTCTCCCAAGTCATCAAAATGGCCCAGATTGTGTGCACCCATCTTTTATTTAAATATTTTTTTGAGCAGAGCTTATTTTAAAAACATAAGTTATGTCTGTTTGGGCCAAATGCAGTGACTTCTCTCAGACTGAGAAATAAATTTATTAAAAATAATTCTGAAAAAAAACTCAAAAAAATTAAAAATAATTCTGTTGCAATGAAAGCAAGGCTGAGGTAGATCTGAGCCACAGTTAGTGTGACTCCCCTGGGTGCAGCTGTGGCAGAGTCCCCTGGCACTGCTGGGCTAGAGGGCAGTGCACACAGCCACCCACTACCCCTACTTGCCAGGCCTGGACTGTGGGCAGAGAAAAAGAGAAAGATAAGAATTGATAAGGAGAATGGGTTGGTCAGGGGGGTCCACACAGATGGCTACAGGACAGAGGACAGCAGAAAAAGGACAGGTGCAGGGTCTTCGGTCCAGGTTGGGGGATTGGGGAGCAACCAATCCCTGTGGAGACTGGCCTGTGCTACGGCTGTGCCCAGATATAGGGGCACCAGCAGCTGCCTTTGCTGCTGTGACTTGACTGGCAGGAAAACAGAGTGGGAAATGAACCTCAGTCAGTGTGGTCCAGGGACCTCCAGTCAAGGCCAGGCCTGCAGGCTGTGCCTGCTGCACCCGCTCAGGTGCCCAAGGCCACAGGGCATCGCCACGGCCCTATTACCATAAGCAATAATGCAGAGGTGTGATAAAAGCCATCTGTCATTCATAAAAGGTGATGTCGCCTTTTTGCAGAACCATAAGTCATCCTGGGGCTCAGCCAAGAAATGGCCCATAAAATCCTGAGTAATGGCCTCAAAGCATACTTTTCAATATAAAGAATATTCTAGGCAGCTGTTTCTAGAACTTACCTGTGTGCAGTAATTTTATACCCAAAACGATTACTGGCTCAGTGTCTGATGCACCCCTTCAGCACCCCCCTCATTAGCAGCAGTAGAGTGTCTAGAATGTGTTTGATGGTCCTGTGAGCACAGGATCCTGCCCCCCAGTGATAAGTGGTAGGTAGTGTTGTCCTCATGGGCTATGCCCTTTGCCGTCGGATGCATCGGCACACAGGGGCCTGGGGGGACACCCACTGTCTTCAGGATCTCCAAAGTTACCAGGGAGGAAGAGCTCAGCCTGTCCTGAATCTGTTTCTACGGTAACGCAAGACCAGCTGGTTTTGTCTGCGTTGGATGAGGGCAAGCATCCAGGGATACCGATGACCCCAAGGCTGGTGAGTGACACAGAGCGTGAACTCCACCCCAGGTGGACTCGTTCCCAGAGCAACCAAGGCTTGCCTGACTGCACAGGGGGGCGAGGGACGGTGGGGCCGTGCCTGCCTTGGGCACCACTCTATAGCCAGAAGGGAGCGGAGATTGCTGGTGCCTCATGAAGACCCAGGAAGTGCTTTCTCTGTCCACCCTACATGAGGCCCCCGTCTGCTTGGGGGTGAGGCCAGGAGAAATCTCTGAGTGCTTCACTCTCTAGAGCCACAGCTTCTGGATGACAGAGCAGGGATGATTCTGAGGCCCCACTGTATGTTCAGGACATGTCTCTAGGAAGGAGAGAGCAGCGGGGTGCATGCACGGGCCCTGCAGCCCTGGCTTCCAGGCACAGAGGAGCAGCCCGGGGTGAGCACAGGCCGAGATGTCTGCCAGGGTGGAGACACACACACTGTGGCTGAAATGGGCACTGCACAGAACCAGTCAGCCAAATCGGTAACAGCAAAATCGATACCGCTGCTGTCAGACGGAGTCAGTCACTTCAGTAACACCGGGGGTGGGGCTTTCTCATGGGCCCACGGCACTGAGATACGGCACTGAGGTCGTAGGGAGCCACCACTGGGTGCCGGTGCTCTGGCAGCTACACGGGCCACAACCACTATCAAATAGACTAGTTGTGTCTCCACTTGCCTGAAGTCTCGATCCTTGAAGGCCTGTTTTGATTCACCTTGGGCCATATGGACTATTTTAACTGGGAGTCAGGTCCCTGGGTTCCCATGCTGGGTCAAGCACCTGTACCCACCATGGGAAGTTTTAAGGCAAAGTGACTACGACCTTGGAGAACGCAGGGCGGGTGACACTCCGGTGGGTAGGCTGTGGCCTGTCTGATTACTATTTTACATTCATGTGGCCACATCAAGGAGCCCCAGTCCCACACTCCTGCCCCTAAGTGGCCATTCTGTAACCAGAGCTAGGCAGGGCTGGCCAGCGGAGCTGGAGTACCAGCAAGAGCTAGCCCGGCCAACTGAGCTGCTATAGTCATTATGGGGTGCTAGCTAAAGCATATGGTTGCCTCTCCGGTGGATGTTCCAAAATTGACCACGCTGGTCGTTGCACGCATCTATGAACACACAACAACCACGGAACCAGCACTAGGTGCTATGTGAATTACAACTCAAGAAAGCTGTTTGAGTGAAGGAAATGACCTGGAAATTCTGGTATCAGTGATCACTGCCAGGTGTGGGATGCTGGGGACTGTGGCCAGCACCAGGGCCACCGCTGAGAGGCTGAGCAGCTTACCTCAGCTGGAGAGCCATCTCTGCTCTCCTGAGAGCGTGCTACTGTCACCTGCAGCCCTGGCCACCCCGGCATGGGGATGCTGGGATGGTGAGTATGTTGTGCAGCCTGACACATGCGGAGTGTTTTTCTATCATGAAGAAATCTCCTGAACCAATAGGGGTTTCAGCAAAGGTCAGAGGCTCCTTCTCAGCTACAGGGAGGGGTCTGACTGGAAATGGGTACCATGGGCACAGATGTCTCTGGTGCTCTGGGTGAGGGTTATGGCCATGCCCCAGACTGGCCCTCCTACCACCCTCCCGGCAGTGGAGGGTTCACTTGGAGGCCCCTCTCTTCTACGCTCCCAAGCGGACAATGAGATCAGCCTGACAGATGGGCTGACTCCAGGCAAGCCAAAGCAAGTGGGAGTCTGTGTGCTCCATGAGTCACGGGCGACTGAGCCAGGCAGCTGAGGGCCACGCAGCCCTGAGGTCAAGGTCATTGTGAAGATGCCTGTGAACAGGGGCTCAGGCCTCGATGCTGCTTGCTGGCTAGATGCAAATGGATACAGGGTGGAAATGCTGCTGCGTCCATGCACACGAGCCTGAGATGATCCAGGCACCCTGAGGGAGCCCTGACAAGAGGGCATAAAATGAGGAAAACCAAA